GGATGAAATGGTTGGACGGTGTCATTGAAGCGACCAACATAAATCTGACCAAACTCCGGGAGGCAGTGGAAGACAGGAGGGCCTGACGTGCTCTTGTCCATGGGGTCACGAAGAGTCGGACATGACTGAACAACTAAACGACAACAATAGCATAAAGGAGTCACACAAACTCAGCAGTCTACTGATTAACCCAGCAACTCTCAACTTTTGAGTTCAACTCCCAGAAGTCTCAGTCAGGCTGGCCAGATTCTGGGAGTTGAAGTGAAAAACATCTGGAGGGTCAAGAGTTGAAAATAACTGGATTAGACAAAGTAATGACCATCTCTTCAAACATTGTCATTTCATCACTGAATCAATTACTGTAATTTATGGAAGTAATATACATTATAAAATGGCATGTATTCCTTACTTAGGGTACAACTGCACTGGAAGAAATGTGGGAAATGCTACAGAGTTGAGGTGGGCTGATTTGCATTTTCCCCATCAACCACATGGCACGAAGAGAACTGTGAATCAGCTCAGAATTTTCCCCTCCAAATCTGTCAGTTTTCCCTCCACAGACAGGGCTTCTACTTTATAAAAAAAAATCCCGCAGACCTATTTGCATTTGTTCATGTGTGTGATGCTTGAATCAATGCAGAAAAGTCACTGTGCCACTGCACACTCAGAGAACAGCAAGCAAAACCCACTGGCAAGACTTTTATACATATTTTAAACAACTAACAGGAGCAAAGCCTCCTTTTTTTCTTTCTATTTTTAATCGGCTTAGGGACTGCAAAGGCTGTCTCCATCACCAAATGTCCGAAGCTTCAATTACCAATACAGCGTGCTTGTAAATGTTACCCACTTTCCTTTTTTTCTCTCCCCTTCCTTTATTTGAGCGCAGCAAAACTCACAGGGTTGTATATTGTTGATCTCCGAAAACATTTCACTGCTAGGTAGAAACAAAATTAAAAGGCATTGTCAACCGGAGAGTACTCCAGAGTTTTAAAGTGTGCTTCTTTGTAACCTACTAAAATAATTATTGGAGGGCAAGATGGGTTTTTTAAAACACCTAGGCCCTTAAAAAAAAAAGCTAATGGGAGAAGGAAACCCTTGTTTATATCTTTTTAGACAGGTTATTTGAAGCGCACCTCATACAGGGATGCTTCAATAGAGCTCCCAACAAGGGTTTCCTCATCTCTCCCTTTCTAACCATTTAATGCAAAGAAACCTGAATTCCCTGGTGCAAGCTTCACAGCAAGTGAATGTGAGTGAATTTGTTTTTCCCCTGCTGTGTGGTGGCATCCTTCTACTGTAAAACAAAACAAAACAAAATAAATTATTCAAAACTGATTTTCTATCCTACGCATGCTATTACAACTGCTGAACAGCAAACCACCTAATAATGCTCTCTAATGAGATTGCACATCTTCACAGAATGAATTTAAAAATAAAGGGATGTATTGATTTAAATGAACAAGAGCATAAAATAAACCACTTTTCTTAAAAATATGCATCTAGAGATTCTCCTTCACGTACCAGCTGTTTCATGCTACCTGTTTTATAGCGTGGTATCCCAGCATATTTAAACCTTCTTCCAACAATGGAAAATTTGACAAAATATAACATTAAGCAGTAGGGAAAATGCTGATATCACCAGCAAAGTATGTTTGTCAACTAATAGTCTTTGGTTCAGTGAAAAATATAGACAAGAACATCATTACTGCTACAGGACATTTTCAACTTTTTAACCGTGATGGAAGTTATTGCTATAAGAATTTATTTATTTTTGTTTACACTATAGAACTTAAAGCAACAATTATACTGTGAACTTTTGTTTTTAAAGTAGGGTCAATGTGGCATCTTGATGCTTCCCATTCTTGAATATACTGTAGCCATATTCAATCTTCCCCACTGAGCAGCTAAACTCTACTCACATCAGAGCAATAGTTACAACCTTTTAACCCTCCACTATCACCACTACCATTTTTAGCACTTATTTTACTGCAGATCTTACACACTACCATTCATCAAACAATGATTCCAGGGCAGTTCCCAATAATACTATAATTAAACACACAATTAAACTAATATGACACTTTTCAATGGCAAACTTTAATCTGTGTTTTTTCACCTAATCCCCATACCTAATGTGCAATCTGGATAGATCTGCATTATTTCTACCTTACAGATTAAGAATTAAAGCTGAGAACGTAATTATCCAATGCCTTTAGTCTATAGAAGGAGAGCAATTTGAACCTTGTCTCCCAGATCTACTTCTCTATGCTACATTTGTATTCATGTTTTATGCCAACAGGCTACCTCTCTGTCACTGTCTTTTCTTAAAATCGTCATCTCGATCAAATGTGTTAAAAACAAACACCTGGCCTTTCTCTAACTCATCTCTCGCAGTGATGTCTACTCTAGCTAGCCAAATAAATGACAGCACAAGTATTTTGCTAAGCATATTTTAATATTTTAGCACTGACAAGTGGGGAAAGTAAGTAGGGAACACCCTCTGCAGTCAGTAAACCATCTTGGAACACTAACTTAGTGCTCTAGTTTTGAATTGGGTTCAGCATGTTTGAAATAAATATAAAGGGAAGGACTTTTTTTCCTTTGGGAAGTGTTTTTTTTTTTGTTGGAAAGTAAGGTATTTTACAAAAAAAGTCATTTATTTTAAATTGCTTGTGTAACTTCTTTATTTTTTAATCATTTCAGCATCTGTTGGTGTAAACTGTGACTGTGGGGTCTGTCAAATAATGGATGCCAGGATCATGGGTTTCAGACTGTAGGAAACTTTAAGCTCCCATCTGAAAAGAGAGCTAGTAGAGAGAGAAAGGTTGGGTGAGGAAAAGCTCTTCCTCCTTCAGAAGCATATAAACTGCCAATCTTGTCAGTTTCTTTGGTCAGTTTCTCTTTGCTACTCACTGGTGTGCCTTCCTTCTCAACAGCCCCAGCTGCCACTTCTACTTCTCTTCTTCTCCACCTCTTTGTGTGTATGTGCATCTCTCTGTCTGTCTCTTTGTTTCAGACCATAGGGAAATCTCTGGTTTAATTTTTTTTCTAGTACTATCCCAGTTTGCAATAAATTCAATAAATATTTAAAATAACATAACAGAGAGGTGGCTAGTGGCTGTGAGAGGCAGCCAGCATGATGGCATGATTCTAAAATGCTGTGCAGTCCCCACAATGGGTGTACAACACAGTTTTAAAACAGATCAAAAGTTTTCTCAAGAGGATGTAGACACTGATCCCAAAACTATGTGACTACCACACAACTTTAAATAAACTTCAGAAACCCCAATCCATCTCCTGATTAATTTTCAGTGTAACTGCACCCTTAGAGAGGGAGAAGCAAGCAAGTCTCTCTGCTCATCTTCTCTGCACACCGTGGTTGGACAGGACTGTCTGTACTGCTGTCTAGAAAGGCAGTGTGAGCAGGCTTCTCTACCTACTCTACTATCCTTTTTCTGGTCAAGAAAGCACACAAAGGTGGTCTCAGTAGATGCAGCTAGTTACTTCTTTATTGTCTCAGTTCTTTGCCTCCACCGCACTCTTAGGGTGGTAAGAATGTGGCTTCTGACCAATGAGATTAGTCAGTCCTCCACATTACCCTGTGCCTCCTTTGAATGACATTGCTGAGCCCAGTCCTTTAAGCTGCACCACCTAAGAGACAGGATTCAGGAATAAGTACTGTGCAATCTTCCAGAGGGAACGAGGAAGAGAAGGTTCATGAGCAGAAGGAGAAGTCTTCTAAAGGGAAATTATGGATGAATCTTAAAGAATGATAGCAGTAATAATTTCATTGATCCTTGCTATCAAAGACAAAAAAGAGTGAAGGACAGAAGGTATACGTTCCTCCTGCTCACTCTTTCTCTCTCATTGGGAAGCACTATAGGGAGACCTGGGTTATGGGCCCCAGAACTTATAACGGCAACACCCAGAGAGAGAATGCAGGTGAGTAACAGAGGATAACGGAGCCACTTCCTCTCTGACCATCTTTCTCCGTTCACCACCCAGAGGCAGTTGGTTGCCCTTTCTCTCTAAGCAATAGAGGCCCGATTCTACACACTAGGCTACCCAGTGAGAAAGAGTGACTGTGACTGTCTTTTTAAGAGCAACTGCTTGCTTTTTCTTGGTTCAGCAATACATACTCCTTGTGTGGCAAGCAATGTTTTCCACTGCCTCTGATTAATCACCCTACAGGTTTCTGTGTTCTGTACAGCACACTATACTTGCACACAAGGCCCCAAAACAGAAAAGCCTGTGGCCTGCTTATACAAAATACTTTAAGAGCAGATCCTGCTAGGAAAGAAGGCTTGCAACCTTTTCTCTCCAAGTCACAACAACAAGCAGCTGCTATCAGTTCCTTACTTTAGAGGCACCCAACCATACCTGATATAAAAGATCCAGGAAATATATCCTTTTCCAGGAGGTTGGCACACCACTTATACAGTACATGGTTTTTGTAAGGGGAACAGCCAGTTTTTGTTTGTGCTTTTAACCTATATCTTAATTCCAGCAACTACAGTAACTGTCCACAAAGTCGAGCCAAAAGAAGTGAGGTGACAATCCAGGGAACGATCAGCTTAGGCAGCTGAACCCAAAAATAAATAGAACGAAGGAAAACCTGCCCCGGCCATCCCCTTTTCACAAGACGTTTAAAGCAACTCTGATTCCCTCCTTGAACCCCGGCTGTCACCCCTTCACCCCTGTGGGCAGGGGCGCCTCAGCTGTCCCCAGCAGCTCCCGAGCGCCACTCAAAGCGTTATATACTCCTGAGGTGCCTATTCACTTTGTCCCTGGCCGCTCCCTCTTCCCTCTCTAATTCTTTCCGACACCCCATGCCCGAAGTAAGACGCACCCCGGTTGCACTTCGACCGCGGACAGGCTGAGGAGAAAGGGGGGGGCTGCCTCTTCTACGCCACTTTCTGACGGAACTAGTTGGGAGTAATGAATAATAAAACAGTGGCCCTCAGCGTCCGAGGCGCCCGGGGCAGCAGCGTAGCACCTACCCGCCGCCGAGGCGACTCCCTCTCCCATCCTGGGGCGCTCTTCAAATCCGACCCTCCTCCTTCCTCCACCCTCCGGCTGCCTCTTTTTCCTGTCCCCTCCGCGCAACGAAGAGGGCGCCCACAGAGCGCGCTGGAGTGGGGACGGGGCGGGGAGGAGAGAACAGGCGAGAGAGGCAAAGGCGGCGGCGGCAGTCGTTCCCTGCCAAGAGAGGGCCGGCCCGCCAGTACAGTCTAACAGAGAGACAGGGAGAGCTTCGCCCGACTCCAAGGCGGGAGCTTTTCGTTTTAGGGCCAGCCCCTCTCTGTTCCTGCCAGCAACTCTGTTTCAGTGTCCCGTGTGGTGTCCCGTGTCTTGTAAACTCCTAGGCGGCAAGACAGCGGACGGTACAAGCCTTCTTCGCTAGGGGTGTCCAAGCCCCGTGTCTCTTCGCTTGTCCCGGCCGAGGAAACAACCGGGAGCAGCCGCCCCACTCAGAGCTGTGGGAATAGGCCGGCAGTTCTTTCGGAGTTCAGAGACTCGTTATTAGGTGGGCGTTTGAAACAAAAGGCCAACGCCCTCGATAACAGAAATGCGAGGTTCAGCTTGGAGCACGCCCTTGGCTGCGTTGGGAAAATTCGAAAATAATAAGGCAGCTCTCGAAAAATTGAAGACATTAAAAAGCAGTTTTCCGTTTAAAACTGCTAGACGTGTTATTGTCCTTTTTTAAACCGTGGAGGTGGTGGTAACAGAGTTTCGAGTACAGTGGACCTTTGACTTACAGACGGCTTGACTTACAGACTTTTTGAGTTACAGACTTCTCTGGCCGCAAAATTTAGGTTTGACTTGCAGACTGAGATTTGACTTACAGACCAGAAAAAAACCAAAATGGAACAAAAATGGCCTGTTACAGGATTAATCGGTTTTCAATGCACTGTAGGTCAATGGAGACTTGACTTACAGACTTTTTGACTTGAGAACCGCCTTCCAATACGGATTAAGTTCTCAAGTCAAGACCCCACTGTACTGACTCCTTCAGGGTCTGGCATCTCTGAGAAGTGCCAGCTGCAATTTCCTACCCCTTTTGACTCCAGGCCTCTGCCCAGTCAAAAATACACCCACCAGGCATTATTTAGGTTGTTCAAACTCACCCATATAGTGCACTCATCAGCTGTATTCCACTTACTGAAGTTGCCTCTTAGCTGTTTATGCCATTTAGTTATGTTTATGAACTTGGGGTTTGATTAAACTCTGCATCCCAAAATAAGTAATGGGTTTGTCCAGTAGTGGCATCTAGGAGACTGTAGGATGCCCAAGCATAATCCCAGATGAAAACTTGTTTTGCCATAAAGTGCCCAAGTACATTACTCACCTTGGCACATGGAACTGCACCTTGAGTAATACTTTTGAAGGAAATAAGCTTTGAGCTGACTCATAACCATCCCTCTTTGAGGTGTCCCTGCCAGTTCCCAAACATTTATTTACTTATTTGTTTGTTTATTGCATTTTTATACTATCCCATTTAGTGAAAATCCTGTACTACTGTACACTGCATTACCTTGGCTCAATGATCTCTGACACTATCTCCCTAGATGTTGAGCTAGATAAACGCATTGCCAAAGCAGCAATAGTTCTCTAGACTCACAAAGAGAGTATGGCTTAATAAGAAGCTGACAGCATATACCAAGATCCAGGTCTATAGAGCCTATGTCCTGAGTACACTCCTCTACTGCAGTGAATCCCAGACCCTTTGTGCATGGCATGAGAGGAAGTAGAACACGTTCCATATGTATTGTCTCTGACACATTTTTGGTATTACCTGGCAGGAAAAAATTCCAAATACAGTAGTCCTAGAATGAGCTGGAATTTTTAGCATGTATATATTACTGGAACAGCGACTTCTACATTGGCTTGGGTATGTTGTGAGAATGGCTGATGGTCAGATTCCAAAAGATCTCCTGTATGAAGAATTAGTGCAGGTAAAGCACCCTAGAGGGAGACCATAGCTGCAATACAAGGATATCTGCAAGCAGGATCTGAAGGCCTTAGGAATGGACCTCAATAGATGGGAAACCTTGACATCTGAGTGTTCGGCCTGGAGGCAGGTGGTGCATCACAGCCTCTCCCAATTTGAAGAGACCCTTGTCCAACAGGCCAAAGCAAAGAGGCAGTCCTGAAACCAGCAAAATCAGGGAGCTGGACAGGGGACAGATTGTATTTGTCTTCAGTGTGTAAGGGATTGTCACTCTCGAATTGGCCTTCTCAGCCACACTAGATGCTGTTCCAAGACCTGTTCAGAGCACGTTGCCATAGTCTTTCAAGACTGAAGGATGCCTACAGTGTGTACTACTCTGAGCAGCCAAACAAACAGAATTATCCCCTCACTACTTACTCTTAACAAAAATCAATCATTGGCAGTTTTGACCAACATCAATTCACATTTTTCTTTTTTAATATATACATTAAATCTTAACTCCAAAAAGCATTGCTTTTCTTTTTATAAATAGACATTTCAATAACTTTTACAGTTACAAATACCCCGTTTCCACGAAAATAACACCTAAGGTGCAAATTAGCCATAGTATGATTTTTCAGGATGCTCATAATATAAGCCCTACCCCCAAAATAAACCTCAGTTAAGTGAAACCCCACCCTCCACCGTTGTGTAGCAACCAGAAGAAGATGACATGACTGTATTTGAATAAATGTAGATTGTTGTACATGAAAAAAATAAAACATCCCCTGAAAATAAGCCCTAATGTGTTTTTTGGAGCAAACATTAATACAACCTTGTCTTATTTTCAGGGAAACACGGTATGTTCACAAGTTCATTTGGATGTTCAGGACAGCTCACAAACACACAGAGTTTATGCAAGTACTTGCACCTTTCATCTTATGGTATTCATGATCTCCCACCTTCAGCACTCCTTTCCTCTAGCTCTGATTATGATGTATATATTCGCATTCCCCAAAGCACTGAATAGTTCAATTAAAAGACAAAATAGCAACTTTCCCAACAGGCCAATCCTTATATACCTCAATAATTCTTTGGCTTGATAGCAGAAAAGCACAGTGATACCACCAAAATAATTTTCATTATTATTAATCAATTACATAGCAACAGCAGTGCACTTGTCTGTTTTACATTATTCCCTTCACCTCATTTAGGGCCTGTCCATACTGGCATTTAGATCAGTATATTGAGTGCTGTTGGTACGGTCGTGTTTGAGCCAAATGACAAGTGTCCACACATGTTTCTACTTAGATTGATCCATCCTGCCCTTTAAGAGCTGTCAGGCATCTTTCTAGTACAGCAGTAGGGCATTTATTCTTTTTGGTATGATTTAGCGTGATCCTAACTAGACGTGGTGGCGCTGTGGGCTAAACCGCAGAAGCTTGTGCTGCAGCGTCAGAAGACCAAGCAGTCGTAAGATCGAATCCACGCGACGGAGTGAGCTCCCGTCGCTTGTCCCAGCTCCCGCCAACCTAGCGGTTTGAAAGCATGCAAATGCAAGTAGATAAATAGGGGCCACCTCGGTGGGAAGGTAACAGCGTTCCGTGTCTAAGTCGCACTGGCCATGTGACCACGGAAGATTGTCTTCGGACAAAACACTGGCTCTATGGCTTGGAAACTGGGATGAGCACCACCCCCTAGAGTCAAACACGACTGGACAAAAAATTGTCAAGGGGAACCTTAACCTTTACCTTTACCTAACTGTCTTGTTGAATAGCCTGTGCAGAGTGTTAGTTCACACCCAAATGGAGCTGTGGCCAGTGTTATCAGAAGCAACAACTCTTAATGTAATAGGTGGATTGTGACATTAAAATGAGAGATACAATAAATCACACTAAAGATAAGAACCAGACTGGTCCAAGTTCCCCTGTCTGGACAAGCCCTCCATGACAACTTTGTAAGTAGGCCCAATATCATCACAAACTTTTCAACCAAGTATATTTGTACCTAGCTAATTCTGTTCCATGTCCAGCATTCTAAGCATTACACAATAATGGCTCTTTCACATCAGTTTTTACTACATATTTATATGTTGTCAAGGCTTTAATATTGTGGTATAAAAAAATAACTAACTTAAATTGCATTACTTTATAAAATATGTAAATTAGGCTACCTGGATTTAAGTCTGAAATATGGCAACTATATGCTTCTTAGTCATAAAGATAGTACCCTTCTGATAGTTGTTATATACTGTGATTTTTAAAGCCTGCCTGGCTTTCATACAAGGAACATTATTTACCTGAATCTCATAGAAATAAATCTATATTATATTGAAGTAGCAGAAGTAAACTCAAGCTACAGTCACACCACCAAAATGTTTCTGAATTACTCCTTCTAAATTTCAACCCTTTTGGGGGGATTCAGATGACACAAGGCTGTTATCGATTCTTTTGGTCCCCTTCTGTGCTCTCTATGCATCAAATCCTGCCTGCTGGAAAGCTACTACTATATTTGTTCTGCGTTTCATTGTGCAGTACAACTGACAAGCTATTGAGTGTATACACCAGACCTGGGCAAAGTGCAGCCTGAGGGCTACATACAGCCCGTGAGCTGCTCCTGTCCAACCTGCGGACAGTTTTGAACATCAAAACCATTTATAGCTTTTTGTCTAAAAGTTGATCAGTTGCTTATCTTTAACATACCACGAAAAACTTCTTTAGTATTTGTGAAGATTAACAAGTTTAAAATAAAAACAATCATTTCATTTTATTTTTAAGTAAAGTTGGCTCAGCCCCTGAACACAGTTCAGGTTTTCAGGAGAAAAAAAAATAGAAGAAAAAGTATTTCTATTAACATGCCAACTAATTTCTGTTCGCCATCAGATATCTAGATAATCCATAATACCATGGATTTGTTTAAAAAGATAATCCTCCTGTTACCTTTTTAGATCAAGTTCTTGCACAGACGTCTGCAAATCGGGGCTCTTCCAGACATATTACTTACCTTGGTGCATGTTTTGAAGCTGCTGTTACCAATTTAATTTGTCCCAGTTTCTTTTGTGTGCCTAGTACACACAAAATTTCTTCTCTGACATATGTAGCAATGCGTGAGTCATATTTTCTTACAGGTACTGCCTTTTTGTCTTGTTATTCTTTTTTTAAACTTCCAATTGTCCATGCTGTCCTACTGCCCCAGTGATGAATTTTCCTCTGACCCCCAATCTTTCAGCTACTATGATGTTCTTTTTGAAATTGGGGGGGGGGACTCCTTGAGCTCATTGGAGAAGCAGGATATAAATAAGAGATAACAGCGCAGCCCTAGCATCAGTAAGGAACCCCTGCTAAAACATCCACAGCTATTTTCTGTGCTACACCTTTCTTGATGCAAAGTCCTTAATTAAGTATATTTTTCAACAATATTGCAGTTTAGTACTAAAATGATGTGATCATTTAAAAATACTGTGTCATTGCAGTATTAACTGAGGTACTACAATCATGCAGTGCATAGACAGAAAAAGAGAGAGTTTCTCCTGCTACTGTAGCCTTTGCTATCGATTTCCTCATGCAG